AGTTTTATTTCGTTTTAACGCGATGCAGGACTGGTAGTAGACTTTTCTGATGATGCTGCACGTTGAATGATGGGAAGACGGGTAAAGAATTAATTTGGAAAGACTTAGGCTTGATTGACAGGCCTGAGCGTAAGGAGTGTACCGAAAAATGCAAGTCAACTAATCTGTTAGCTTATGCTTTCAATATTACATGATATAGTTCGGTTCATAGTAATTTCAATATTATATTAATATTTAACATATACTAATAAAGTAAGCTCAACAAACGAAATCTCGGCATGGATTCATCAGAGTCGCAGGACTGTGAATTGAGGCAATCTTGGCATAATCCGAAGCAATTTTCATTCCGTAACTGTTAAGGTGAACCTCCATTTTTTTCAAAATGGAAAATTAAATCACATCCTAGTATTACGGAATTTCTCGAAGTCCAATCTATTTTCAAATATTGAAGACATTTTTTTTGCATACAATATTTATGTACCAACGAATAACTAACCAAGACTAATCCGCTTTCGTCTTTTGGTGCAATCGACCATAACAAATCTCGTCATTGTGACACACTTTCGCTTGAAATGGAAGTGAGCACAAGAGAAAAGCATTCAACATCTCCCACGAATATCACATTAACCGACCTGGAGAGACTAAGATCCCTTTCAATCACATGTTTAACACATCACATATCACACAGCGGGCTCATAAGCAATACCACATATTAGGTCATCAAAATGATGAGTTAGCCCAAGTCAAAACGGTCATTGACGTTGATAATCTAGGAGCTGTATCCTTATTAACCAAAACGATTGCTGGAGTATCGTTCATGTGCATACTCACACGCACCTACAAAAAAGAAATTATGCCCATATACAAATACAAAAATGCACAGGTGGATAGATATATACGAAGGTGAGTGCACTAATTCTTTCTATACCTTCTGAAAATATTTTTCGGTATACATGCCACGGTGAGATTAAGTAAGGCTTGGGAATTGGATTCAAGTCACAAATTGAGCTGCCGTTTCCCTTGAATTTCACATGCCCTTGCTTTGCCAAAAGCTGTTCCCACCCAGGCTGAAATGGACTGCAGTTTCGACCTCGCCTCGGTCTTATCAACACCCTCATCGGGAGTCGAACAGTGCCAGTGCAGCATGTGAGCTTGACACGTCAAACATTCAGCCACATTGACCTTGGGTCAAAGGGCAGATGTCATGCTGGGATTGTCGATGAAACAAACGTATATTTGCTGTACCAATTTACGACATTACTTTGTTCGTGAGTGAGTAGTTAGTCAAGACTGCCAGTAAATCAGATATATGGGTTGTTGTTAAGAGACTGCAATTAACATCAGTCTGGATGGGAACATCTTTTGAGAAGCAAGGCTGTGCGAAATTTTGGAATGATTTGATGATTTTGGAAAAATTCAACTACCAGTCCTTCACCACGTTAAATGTAATAGTGTGAGCACAACTTGTATTATGCATGAAACTTTCAGAGTCGGACCGTGGACTGGTATATTCCTAGAAGTTTCGCCGGTATCTTCAGTGAGCCACGCTACACGAGCTATCGTGTGGTGGTAAGATTGACAAGCCTAAATGACGACGCCGGCAAAACGCCTAGTACCGTACAAGTCTACGGCCTGACTCTGAATGTATCATGGATACTATTAATTTGCGACATGGTGCGTGCTCGAGGTCACTTTGACAATACGACCGATTGGTGAAAACAAAACAAAAACAACACACAAAAAGTCACACCATTTTGTTTTGGCATACCTTCTCAATAAGATATAAGAGTGTACAGAAATACACAAAACAAGCAACATCTTGAAAAGAAGGAACGAGGATAAACAATTACTCGGTAACTATTTGTGGCTGTTGAATAGTCCTAAGGAGAGAGTGGAATGAGAAACAGGAGAATTAATTGAGCAAGAAGAGGGAGACTAGAATATCTTTGTGTCTATTTAGACCTCCAACA